TTATCATATTTTTAGCCCCAATTATTATGTCTTTTATACTAAATTAGCATCTAATTGGACTCATATCTCTTGTATTTTGGTCTAGGGTATGAAAGAAGGCATCAAGAGCAAAGAAAGACAAATCGGATGATTTTTCACAGTTTCGACATCGTTCAGTGATCTAGGCCTAACTCACGTTTCCGAACTCTGAATGGGCTGATTCAAGATCCACTGGAAAGATAAGAGAATAATCCACAACTTTCATGTTTTGGGCTTTCGCAGATTCAGCCTGCATCGAAGTCAATTCCGGGCCCAAAGTCGTGGCAAATTCATAGGAAGGCCCAATCCGCAGCTGAAACACAACTCGCAGAAAAGCCTGGCTGAAGCCCAATTCGCAGAGGATGTCTATTACGAATCCAAGAACATGAAACTAAGAAGAATCCTTATAGATTTAAATTCTTGATGTAAACTTAGAGTGATAAAAGGATTGAGTTCAAGAGATAAAGAGATAGGATTAGAATTAGGATAGGACTTTCTATTTCTTGTAAAGATCAACTTCAAGAGAAAGTAGGAGACCACCCCATCCCCTTTAATCTATATAAAGGAGGGGGTGGACCAGCTTTAGGTATCACTGGATCACTGAATCATTAAATCATTCAACTTCTGATTTGAATCAAGAAGGAAGGAGCAATCAGAAAGAAGGGTTCAAGAAAGGTTCAAGAATTCAAGAAACTTCAAGAAGAGGAGATCTCAGCACCATGGGCGAATTCAAGAGTTCTTTCTTCACCTGTGATTGTTTTAATTCTTCCATCATGAATTGATTTGTTTTCTTGCTAGGGTTATGGAAAGCCTAATCATGTTAATGAATATATTTTTATTTTCTTGATTCATCCAAGATAGTGATTTCTATATAGTCTATAAATTTTTGTGCTTAATGCAATTAAGAGATTGGCCACCCTGGCAGCTGAGACAGGCCACCCCAACTGATTAAGTTCAAAGATTCAATTAATCCTACACTGTATGTGCCTAGGGTCTCACCCTGGCAGATAAGACATGCCACCCCAACTGACTTAGTGGCACTACAGTGTCAGCCTTATCAGGATAGGTCTCCCCAGACCGACCTACTGGCTGTGAACATTCTAAACTAACACGAGTCTCATTAAGTATCCAGTTTAAGGGTATTACATAGAAACATACCAAGGGAACATGAATCAAATATGCACTTTTATTCATTTACAATAAACTCATAAAGTACATCATTCTGATTGAAGCTAAGGGCATACAAAACTGTCCAACAGAAGTATCTCAGTTTTCACCCGCAGAGTGACATTTTGTTTCATAAAAGCATTTTCAAAGCCTGGTTTCTAAAGTCTTAGAGAAGAAGATTACCAAACTGTTAGGCCAATTCTTTATCACAAATGGGTTGGAATATGGTTCGAGGGGATTTTGCTGTACATCTGTTAAACACCTTTCGTCGGGAAAATTATTTGTTGTTGAAGTTTTTGCGACTCAAAACTAATTGATTGATTAAGCATGCTCTATTTAGTAGGCTTTTGCCCGTTATGGTAATTTAGTAGGCTTTTGTAGTTCCATTTGAAGCTTACTTTATTTTATTAACAGATAAGAAGGAAATCATCTCCAATTTTGGAAGAAGCAAAATCTTCAATTGATGTGATTTTCTTCACCACGATCTCAATGGGCTTTATTTCTGTTGCATCTTGCAGTGAAGATATTACTCGAGCTATTATCTATGCCTTAATTGACAGAAGTGATTCTGAACTGGGCGAGCCGCTTACACTGTTTCTGTATAGGCCTTGGCTTCCTTTACCTTTGGAAGCAGGTAAGTGAAATTAATCCTTGGTTTCCTTTTCTAATTTTATGTTGTCCTTGGTTTCCTTTGTTTTATAGGAAAGTTTGAGGCAACGACTATGGTATCCATGATGTTCAATGTGGGAATCAAGAAATATTTTGATATGACCCTTCTTTCTTGTGCCTATGCTAGAACTAGGGAACGTACTCAAGGTCTTGTATCTTTTTTTGGTCACACCTATAGATTACTTTAAGCATTCAAAGTTGTTGACAATATGTTTTGATACAGGTTTAGAAGCTTTTAGGTTACTTGGCCAACATCTTGACATGGGTGAGACTCACCAAGGTCATGTTGTTCTTGTTTTGCATTGGATGAATTTTTTGAAGAATTGGGTCTTGAGACGGAGATTGGATCATTAGAACATTTATTACATTATGAAGAGCAGAACACCGGGAGGGTAGTTCCTTTAGTTCTTGGTCTCCTTTGCATTTGCAATCTGAAGGTAAGCCATATGTGATATACAAGTTTATTGAATCCTCATAGCATTCAACTGAATTGGTAAGAGGGCTTTGGACGGAGTTTTATTAGGTTGGTTTGGTTAGCATTGCATAGTTTCCTGGAAACCTTTAGAAAACAGAGCGTAGTTTTATTCTAATGTGTGGTTTGCTGTTGTTGAGAAGTTGTTGCCAAGAAGGGAACAATTTTAAACAGCCAAAGTTTGCATTCTTTTTCTTTTGTTCTATTTCCCTCCTTCCTTTCCTCTCTCTGTCCCTCATCCCAAATAAATCTAAGCTAATCCATCCTTGTTTATATGTTTGTCTAATGGGGAAACATATGGCAAATGTTCTGTTTCATTTTTCTTTTGTCAATGCTTTCGTGAATGCCGATTCCAGCCACGTAATTGTCTAATCATGTGGCGGTGTTTATTACTATGGACAAATTCATAGACTTGGAACTGAAAACTAGAAGTATTTATTTAAAGAATAAATTATAATTATAATTTCGATAATATAACCTGAATAAAATTTACAAAAAATGATTATTATTGATATATTAATAAATTAAACATTTTAACTAATATTATCTATCGGAATTGGCATTTATAACATAAAATATGGTAAAAGATATTAGAGAATTAAGAAAATCTTGTACATACTTTACAAAACAACTTGTTCCGGTTATGAATTGGTTCAGGACAGGGAATACCATGGAACCAATTATTATTGGAGACAAAATCATGGAACCAGAACCGTTATAATTCTAGAATTATAAACGGTTCTGAGCTGTTTGTGTTCAACGGGCAAATGCGACCCACTGACAGCCCTAATTCTAGAATAAGGATCATGGGAAGACAGGTGCTGCGATAAGTCTGGTATTTCTTTTTTCTATCTCCTCGGGGATTTGCTTTTCTTGGTTATGACCTTTTCAACATATTGCCAATGTTGAACCCTTTGCTGTTGTAGGGTATGATTGTATAGTGGGATGTTGATTCTGGACCCAAACAAATCGATAAGTACTTCCACAAAATGACAACCATGCCAATGTGTGTGCATTATTAGCAGTTGGAATTGTCTATTGCAGTATCAAGAATGACCGTAGGGCTTGTAAGCCAAAATTTTATTTATATGCCAAAATTATTTATATGCTAACATTTCCTTATTGTTGTTTCTATTGTCAATATTTTGTGTTGTTTTCTTAAACTAATCCAAGACATCTTCACGCATTGACACTTGTAGGAGGTTATGTCGACGCAAATGATTCAAGTATTTGAGTTGGTGTGTAATAGTGGGCCTTGGCGTTGCATATGCAGGAACACAGGATTAGAAGGTGAAGTATCT